ACACCCAGCCTTCTGCCCTGCACCCCCCCACACACCCCCAGCCCTCTGCCCTGCACCCCCACGCCCCCACACATCCTCTGCTCTGACCCCTGAACCCCCCCAGGTCTGGGGTCCCGACTGCCGGCCCCTTGCCAGCTGGCGTCCCGGCCACAGGCCCCGCTCAGCCTGCTGCCGGCCTGGGTGAACAGAACACCAGGCTGGCGGCGTAAGATCAGCATTTTCATTTAATTTTAAATGAAGCTTCTTAAACATTTCGAAAACCTTGTTTACTTTACATACAACAATAGTTTGGTTATATAATATAGACTTAGAGACCTTTTAAAAGAGGTTAAAATGTATTACCGGCATGCGAAACCTTAAATTAAAGTGAATAAATGAAGACTCGGCACAACTCTTCTGAAAGATTGCCTACCCCTGCTCTAGCTCTTCTCATCCTTCCTGTCTACTTAGGCACCAAAGACCTAGACTAATTGAAGACCACTCAAAGTAGCAATCTTTTTCTAGTCCAACCTCAAATACAGAAGGGGACATCTAGAGGAAAAAGGGTAATATTTTGAAAGTGTCTAAATTATTTTGGAGCCTTGCTCCCAAATGTGACTTAGGCATTCAGGAGCCTAAATCCCATTGACTTTCATTGAAACGTAGGTGACTTGAAAATTTTTGGTTAAAATTTTCAAAAGTCATGCAATTATGTGGCAAATGCAGAAACAAGTCTAGTGTGTGGATGCGCTTAATTTCTAAACCTCTAAACACCAAATGTTTTCTAGGCGACCTCACTGAGATGCTGTTTGACATGGATATGACATTCCCAAGATTTAATGTCTGGAAGATTTCCTTATCCATGTTGACAAATATTTCCCAGTATGGCCCAAAACCACCTACTTGGCTTTTCACAAGTAATCCCTGCCCCTGCCCTCACAGCTAGTCAATCCCTGGAACTGATTTCTGAACTAGAAGAGGATTCAGGAAATGGGAGCTATACCTGCCTGTTCTGATTTGAACATCCTCCACCAGGTTGAGCTCTGACCCCTTCCGGTTTACATGCAAGAATAACATTTCTTTTTTTTTCTCTGAGAAAAATCACCCACTTCTGAGAGAGCCTTTTAGAATGCTAGGAGCCACTCATTCCACAGAAGACTGATAATCTGATACATTCCTTCCTTTGAATTCAGACCGTTCATGTAACAGAATGTCTTGGAAGCACTGCAGGAACATTGTGTCACCTGCGCTTCCCTGTGGCATTTGATATGGTCAGCCATGGAATGCTGTTTTACCTCAGACACGGTGGGATTAGTGGGATAACATTGGATATGTCTACACTGAAGCTGGGAGCAAGCCTCACGGGCTGGGTAGACAGTCATGCTAGCTTGCTAAAAAATAGCAGTGTGGACATTGCGACTTGGGCAGCAGCTCAGGCTTTCAAGGCTGCTCAGCCCCCTGGTCTGAGCTCTAAGCCACAACATCCACCTGCTATTTTTAGCACACTAGCTCAAATAGAATATAAATAACTGAATTAGAGAAGAACCCTGTAGATTGCTTTGTGCAACTGAGGTCATCAGAGAACCCTCAGAAATTGGTTCTTATACGGACTTCTCATTGCCCCACACTTCTCCAAATGGGCAATAATGTAGGTTGCTCTCTATGCTCCAGGAGAATTTCTTGGCAGTTTTATTCCATTTTTTTTCATATATTTTAAGAAACCTGGAGGGTTGAAGAGAATAACAGACTTTAGGGATCTCAACAGACCATCTATGAACAAGAAATTGCAGATTGAGACACGAGCTCTCAATCCTCACCAGCATTCATCCAGAGAATTTCCTCACTTGACTTTCAAAAAGTGGAATTGCACATCCCCATCAGATGGAGACACCTAAAGGTTCCTCATGTTTGCTTTCATATCCTTCCACTTCCCTTACAAACCCTTTCTCATTTGGTCTTTTAACAACACAAAAAAAGTGTTCACAAAAGTATGGTTACAGTCATTGCAGACTTTTGCATACTTAACTGAAAAAAAGTGGGAATAACTTAGACTTCTTAAATCAGAAAACCATGGCCGCCTTGTAATTGGCAAAGTATCATATAATGTGACTCAATATCATGCACATAAAAGGCATCTGAAGTGTCAAGCAGATTAGCTCAAAAAGATGGGTCCACACAGGGAAATGGTCTTTGAACACTACACTTTCATCTGTCTCAAAATACAATAACAGCTCATCAAGCTGTAGGTAGTAGCAGACACAAGAGAGAAATCTGTTGCTCAGAGATAAAAGACCACAGGGCCAGATGTGAAGAACACACTGGACCTGATTCACTGTTCCTTTGCTTTGTTTTTATGCTTGTATAATTCCACTGAGGTCAATAGAATTGTCTGTTTAAACTGATATAATGGAGTGGAGAACCAGGCCATCCCAAGACTGTCTGATATCTGTATTCCTTCCCCTTCTTCTTCTAGTCTTAGTCCCATGTGTAAGGGGCCGGATCTTCAAGTCTTTCTTCTCCATTCCAGTCTGTCTTGAAGCAGTTCCTCAGAAACTCCGTAGCTAATCAAGTCCTATTCTATGATATCCATCCATCTATTTTGGGTCTTCCAGCCCTTCTCTTACCCTCCACTTCTAAGTTAAACACCGTTTCCTATATATTCTTCCCGTCTTTTTTTCATATGCCCAAACCATCTAAGCCTGGATTCCCTCAACTTTTCTGTAATTGGTACCACCTTCATACTTCCCCTAATACTTTTGTTCCAAATATGGTCCATCCTTGTAACTCCAAGCATGCATTTTAACATTTTCATTTCCACTGTATTCAAGATCTGCTCCTGTCTCTTCCTCAGTGTCCAGCATTTGGTGCCATACGAAAGTATATTACTTCTCCTCCCATGCCCTGAAACCCCTTCTGAGCAAGTTGGTGTTCATTTCCCCAATCTTGTGGCCAGCTGAGCTGTACTGCAAATTGATGTGGCTAGGAACACAGTTGTCATCGAACTTCCGTTTTTAGAGCTTTACTCACACAGGGCCTGATCACTGAGTGAAATGAAAAACCTGAACCTAGCAGAGTGGACGCTGAACAGAGTTAGATGAGCTGAGCTAGATATTCAGACAGTTATCTCTCACAGCTCTCCTTGCAGCTAGCAAAGAAGTGGCTTAGAAAGGAACAATGACATCTACATATTTTCTGTTGTGAAATTCCTTCAGGAGGGCTTGACCATGGGCCAACACTCTGAAAGGACACATGGCATCAATAAGGTCAGTCTTCAGGTTTGATATAGAAAAGGTCATTATCTGCTCAACCCAATGTAGCTGGATTGCCTTGTTGGAGATAATGAAACCTCAAACTTTTTATTGTCCTTAATCTATTGTTTCATGGTCTGTTACAGCTTTTGAAACAATGAGCTCAATGTCCATCTCATTCCTAACTGTTAAAAAAATGGTCTTTGTAATGGTCATGTCTTCTTCCCAGACAGCATCAGAACTTAGAAGCCTTGTTAGTAGAGATTTGGTATCTCATATTCCATTACAACACTATTGCTCTAAGGACACTAGTCAACTCTGCATCCAAACAAGTCTTCAACAGGAATCACAATATTCTCCTCCCAGCATTTTGCCCAAATCCAAAACACAAAAATGTAACTATTGCATACCTACCTTTCTTATAACTTTAACATCTGTAGTGATAGCTGAGAGTCCGGAAGCTTAATCTTAAAAAGAAAAAACAGTATAGGAAGTCAGATTCTGTTCCTGAATTTTCACCCAAATCAAAGAAGAAAGAAGGCCCTGACTATGATGCCATCTCTACCTAGATCAAAAATATACTGGGAACGCAGGATTATGAGCCTATTATAGCAGATGAGTATTGAAG